CTTGCTGTCTTTGTGGGTAACCACGTTTTTTCGAAAAACTGGCACAGTGACATCTCTACATAAACGACGAAGTCCTAGAAACTGAGAAAAGGGAATGGCATTCTTGACATGAGATGGGTGCGAATATGAATACAGAAAGAAGTGTGAGTTTGTAGGTTTGTGATACACACTAGTTCATATACCATTTTCGTTAATTGAAACTTTGATGTCTGAAAAGGATAAAGAACTGTCGGAAATTTCCTACGTATATTTTAGGGCTGGTTGAAAGGAATTGACTGCGGTTGTAAACTGAATTAGCTCCTCTGCTGATCACGAAATACTTATTAGCAAAATAGAGTCATATGGACTTAAGGACGTTGAGTTAGACTGGTTTCGAAACTATCTGACAGACCGAAAACAACTCGTAAGTTTTGGTAAAGAGATCTCTGATCCAGGTCTTATTACCTCGGGTGTCCCGCAAGGGTCAATTCTTAGCCCTTTACTCTTTGTCCTGTTTGTCAACGATCTGGCTATAGTTCTAGAACGATGCCAGATTCTGATGTACGCTGATGATACAGTTATGTATTTCACCGCGAGTAATGCCCAAGAAATAAGTAGTACACTTACCAGTGAACTTCCCAAGGTTAATGACTGGCTTTTAGACAACAGTCTTTTTATTCACCAAGGCAAAACTGGATGTGTTTTATTTTGTACTGGCTCTAGGTTAGCAAATGCTAATCTCTCTGTGAATATCGATGGCAAGGAGCTAACACGGGTTGCTGAGTATAAATACCTAGGTGTAATCTTGGATGAGTCGCTTTCATGGAACACACACTTAAATTATGTAGTAAGCAAAGTTAGTAAGAGAATAGGAATTCTTGGCCGCACCGGGCGTAGCATTAGTATGCATACTGCTGGTATAATTTATAGATCATTTATTCTTCCTGTTCTTGATTATTGTGATACCGTTTGGAACTGTTGCGGCCATACGAATGCTGATAATATAGAAAAATTGCAGAGATGTACGGCAAGGATTATCATGCAAACTAACAGCAGTGATGAAGCGCTAGCTCACCTTAATTATGATACGCTGGGACTTAGACGGGAGATTCGCACGTTAAACCTTGTGAAGAAATGTCTCGATAAGTGCTGCCCACAATTTTTAATGGACTACTTTTATTTTAATAGAGATATCATACAGAGAAAGACGCGGCAAAGTAGTCATCTCCGTCTTCCCTCCATCAAACTAGAATGTACATAAAAAAGCTTTTTATTATCATGGATGTGAAGTTTTTAATCGTAATTTGTAGTTTTTATGAATAGTTTGTAATAAACTTTAAACTCTTTTAGGATTTTTCTGCTATTAGCTTATTTAGGATTAGTTTTGAGTATTTTTATATTTCTTTTATCTAGGGCCTCTAAGGATATCAGTTTTTGTAACTGTAGGAGTTACCCTAGCTAAATAAAAGTATCTACTACTACTACTACTACTATTACTACTACTACTACTCTCTGGTAGAGGAGGAAGCGCCGATAGAGTCGTCAATATGGCGACTGCAGAGTTCAGGTTTGGGGCCATTTATTGGCTTAAAAATTAGTATTCGACAAAACCTACAAAGAGATTGGCATAGCTGGGTTCCATTTTAGTAGGTTTTAGTAGGTTGTTTAAAATAATTGTCCCCGAATGAAAAACAGTTGAGCGTAAGCACTAGTTCGGCTAGGTGAAGTAGTGTTTCAGATCTAAGTTCCTTAACAATGCGTTGATGAAAAAAATGTTTGAGGGCCAGAAGACCTTCGTCATTGGGAGTGACAGTATAAAGAGATCTAGTATCCACAGTGAAAAGAAGTTTGCCTTGGCCGAGGAAATTAAGGTCGCGAAAAATTTGAAGAGCGTTTTGGCTGTCTTTGATATATCATA